AGGGAGGGGGGGGAGGGAGGGAGCGAGGGAGGGAGAGGGAGAGGGAGCGAGGGAGGAGGGGGAGGAGGAGCATGGCCTCGGAAATGGGAAGCTGGAGGCGCCACAGGATCGGGGAGGTCGGGCGTTGCGCAGTGGAGTGGCGATAATTCTGTGCCTCCCAGATTGGAACCGAGTAGATGGTCGGAGCCCCGAGTCATCAGGGCTGGGGGGGCAGTCAGGGGTAGCTATAGATTCGCGACTCGGGGGCCCAAACACGACCGCAGTCGTTCCAGATATCTGGGGCGTCCAACCCTGCCGAATCATCGTGGCTCGGGGCAGCCAGGGATAGCTACGATTTCGTGCATTAGAGTAGCCCTGGACCGCAGTTACCCCAGATAATTTGGACGCCTAAAATCGGGTCGGAGGATCGCGCCGTATCGCCGACGCATCGGCTATGTGGCGCGCTATGGAGCCCGATGTTCTCCGCGTTGGGGTCGCTGATGCATCGCCGACGTCGCCGATGCATCGCCGATGCATCGACGATGCATCGACGATGCGGCGCGATCCTCCGAACCCATCTACTCGGAACCCCGTCCGGGGGGGCATGCTGGAGATGCTACAGGATCGGAGAGGAGTAGCACCAGAGGAAGAAACGGTGCCGATACCATTACCCTAGCCTCGTGTTCACCTCTTCGGCCCTCCTGGGAGGCCCCCGTCGCTACGGCCTCGTTCGCTCCGAAGCCCTGGGCCTCGGGAGGGGAGGGCGGTGATGCCACGGGATCGGGGAGGTCGGGTTTTGCGCAGTGGGGGGGCGATGCGCGGGGAGGGCCCAGAGGAAGGTGCGCCCTGCATGCGCCTGGGGGGCCCTACAAGGGGCCCTCTGGGGCCTATAAGAGGCTTGGCATCGCTCGGACGTGTGCATTTTTCCTTCGGCCAGGACCATCAAGGAGCATCCTTGATCATTTGGCGAAAATCACCGCGTACGAAACCGAACAGAAACACAGGGAATGGACGTCCGAGCGATGGCCAGGAGGGGCACGACAGATGCACGTTTCGTCGCCCCGCCTTGCATCGCCCGCCCCCACGAAGCAGCGCTCACGGAGCGGGGAGACGTAAGACTCGAGCACGCCGGAACTTCGGTTCGGCGGCGCTCTTTCAACGAGCCCGCCCCGGATTCTGACGGCCCAATTTTCGTGGCATGTCTGCAGCGGGAGTTCGATTCAAATTTCAGGTCGGGTCTCGAGTCTTGTCATTTTCTTGGCGGCCCGGTCAGGCCAACCCGAGTCCCCCGAACCCGAGTCTTACGTCTCCCTGAAAGGAGGCGGAAGTGGTGAGGATTCGGGCTGCGTGCAGGCAGCCCCCCCCCAGGTAGTCTCGGCGGGTCTCGGGAGGGGAGGCCGGAGATAGCACAGGATCGGGGAGGCGCATCAGAGGAGGAAGCGATACCGATACCGCTGCCCATGCCTAGTTTTCACCTTTTGGAGCCTCCTGGGAGGCCCTCGTCGCCACGGCTGGATTCGCCTCGAAATCTCCGGCAGAGCATACCCCAGGCCGATATCGGTATTTCTTCGCACCCTTCCCCCCCCAAGAAGAAGGACGGAACGAGGAGGAGGAGGAGCGGAAGGATGCGGATGGGGAGGAGGATGCGTATGGGGAGGAGGATGAGGAGGATGAGGAGGAGGAGGAGGAGGAGGAAGGAGGAGGAGGAGAGGAGGAGGAGGAGGAGGAGGAGAGGAGGGGGAGAGAGAGGGGAGGGGGAGGAGGAAGAGGAGGAGGAGGAGAGGAGGAGGAGGAGGAGGGGAGGAGGAGGGGAGGAGGAGGAGGGAGGGAGGAGAGGAGGAGGAGGTAGGAGGAGGATGAGGAGGAGGTAGGAGGAGGAGAGAGGAAGTAGGAGGAGGAGGAGGAGGAGGGGAGGAGGAGGAGAGGAGGAGGGAAGAGGGGATGAGGAGGAGAGGAGGAGGGGGAGGAGGGAGGAGGAGAGGAGGAGAGGAGGGAGGAGGAGGAGGAGGAGGAGGAAGGAGGAGAGGAGGAGGAGGAGAGGCGGAGGAGGAGGAGGAGGGAGAGAGACGAAGGATGGGGAGGATGCGGGGGGAAGGAGGAGGAAGAGGAGGTGGATGAGGAGGAGGAGGAGGAGGAGGAGGACGAGGAGGAGGAGGAGGAGGAGGAGGAGGAGGAATGCACCCCAGGTACAAATCCAGGGGCTGGCGATTGATTCCTGAGCAGGGGCGACGGCACGGGCGGGGAGCTGGCGCGGCTGGGGGGAGTATCGGCCTCGAATCGCCGATTCCTCGCCGATCGGGGGCCCAGGGGGACAGGAGGAAAAACACAACGAATCGCCGACCCCCCGGAAAATCAGGGAAACTATGGGAAGAGCGGGGGAAGCCGAAAATCCACAACATGTGAGAACATGTGGGGACTCCTGGGATTTGTGTCTATCGATCTGTGCTTCCCAGGGCCCCTTCAACGGGGGCCCTCCACCGTCCAGAATGCCGTGCGGCCTCGCCGTCGGAGCCTGTCGCCGACCTGTCTCGGCGCCGCACCGCCGATCTCGGAGGGGCGACGCGCGGAAACGGGGCCGACCACGCCGAGATTCGCGCGTAGGCTGCCCTCGTTTCCAGTGGGGTGGAGGAGGAGGAGGAGGAGGAGGAGGAGGAGGAGGAGGAGGAGGAGGAGGAGAAAGATCAGGAGGAGGAGAACCACCCCGCGTACGGTCGCGCGCAAGCGCCGTCGTCTCCAGTGTGGCGTGTCGCGCTGGCGGCCTGCGTAAGCCGGTGCCTGCGGTCGCCATGTCGTCGTGCGTAAGACCCTTGTCTTGTCGTCGATCAAGGCAGTGTGTCCCACCGAGCCCCTCCCTTGGCATAGCTCGGACGGGTGCGTCATCTCACTTCGACGGTAGGGGCCCACATGAGAATCTCCCAAACAGGTCTGAAAGTAAACCTCATCGTCGTCCGTTCGAGTGAAGAGGCTCTCTTCCCGTCTCCTCATCGGCTTCTTCTTTCCGCCCTGGCGGAAGCCCTTGTCCTGCCCCCTGCTCTGCCTCCGCCTCGTCGTCTTGCCTCTTTTCCCCCGCGAAATTCGCCCCCTCTTGTCTTGCCTCTTGTCTTGCCTCTTGTCTTGCCCCCTGCTCCGCCTCCGCCTCGATCCCCGCGAAATTCGCAAGTGCACGCAAGTGGAGTTTGCTGGGCGCCGTTGCCGCCACGGCCAGCACGGGCGCGTTCTCCGACGGCCAGATCGTGAAGCCGCTTGGGCAAGCCAGTGCGCCAGGCCGTTGGTTGGGATGCAACTCCTGGGAGGTCAAATTCTGATTCTGCACTGGCCCGAAGTCCGCTTAATCCGGCTTAATCCCGCTTAATCCCGGTTAATCCCGCTGAATCCGGCTTGATGCCGCTTGATCCGAGGCCCACTCCAGCGTAATAGCTCCCAAATGGGGCTCAATCCGCCGTAATCTTTCCGACGAAAACCTCCCAGTAGTTGCCTCCTAACGTTGGGACAACCCCACGGGCCGCCAGGGCGCGGGAGCGAGCCGCTGGGACAACCCTGCAGGTCTCGAGCTAGTCGCGGCCGCGCCCGCGCGCCAGGCAACGCGAAGCCGAGCTCTGCCGCGATTTGAGCTGCTCAGCCTAAGGCCGAGAGCTCCCCTTTTTCTTGTCGACCTCCCAGGGCGCCTTCCGCACGGAAGCCGGCGGCCCGCGCTCCAGGAACTCGCGTGGGCGGGCACGTTCTGCTTGCATGTCTTCGCCACGCACTCCTAGACGAGGCTCCCAATCGAGATTTCCGCCATACCCAAGCTTCAAAGGAGCAGGCATGCCGTCAGAAATTGGGTCCCGACGACCCGCTCGGATTGGTTACATAAGCTGTGGGCCTCATATGGAGTTGGCTTCCGCCGGTACCTTCCTTGGCACTTAATCACAAACAGCGTTTTCGCCAGAGACTCCCTATATGCAATCTTCCAAAGGCCAGAAATGGCGAACCTTACAAGGTTCCGATGACCCGTTCGGATTAGTTTCATGAGCTTCGGGACCCATAAAAGGGGGGACCGCCTGATACTTCCTGGCCGTCCACTCCCAGACGAAGTTCCCGCTCGATCTTTCCGCACAATTTAGGACGGAGGAGCCCAAACATGGCGACAATTTCAGGCCCCCACTTTTGAGACGTCCGAACGATATACTTATATACAAGGTCTCGTTCGAGAGCTCCGCCGTATCCAGGAGTGAAAAGCCCCAAGAGCATTTACAGGATTCCAATGATCCGCCCGGATTAGCAACATGAGCTGCGGGCCCCATGGGGAGGGGCCTCCGGCCTGAGACCTTTTTCCGCAACCCGCCCGCCAACGAGGGGCCCGCTTAAGATGTTCTAGGGTGGGTGAATGTGTGGTATTGTGTGTGCGATGACGACCATGATGATGGTGATGCTGATGATGATGATGATGTTGATGGTGCTGGTGCGGGGGTGCTGCTGGCAATGACTAAGACTTGATGCCCATTTGGATATGTTGATCATGCTGATGATGGTGATGGTGGTGTTTGTGTTGGTGGTGATGATGGTGACAGCCGTAAGGGTCATGGTGATGATGGTGATGGTGGAAATGACGATGTAAAGACTCTTGACGATGATTGTGATGGTGCTGGTCATGGTGGGGAAGAAGGGGAGAGGAACGATCCTGCGCGGGGGGTGTGCAGAGAACACAACAGCCCCCTGTGGATGCGGGGAAAACTTGCGACACCGAATGATGAATGGGGGGGGTGGCCGTCGGAGCGATGGCAGGACCCCCCCATCGTTTTCTCCTCGCAGGAGGTCTGCATCGCCAGCGGCAAGAGGGCGGGCCCCAGCGACTTTTCGCACTGCCCCACGCCCCAGAGCTACGTGAGGTGTGGGCCGCACCACAGGGCGGAGCTGTGCGTGCTGGGGAAGGATTGGCGGCGAACCCGGGGGGGGGAGGTGAGAGGGACAGGTTTTCTCAGAAGACGGCGGGGCTTCTCAGAAGCTTTTGCGCCTTCTGAGAAGTTTGTCCTGTTTCAAGAGAAGACTTAGACAACTCCTAACAAGGTCGGGGGCCTTCCGAGCCTCCTGAGGAGGCTCGCCCCCTTTTTTCACCCAGGGCGCGCCGCCGCAAGGAGGATATCTCGCAACTCCACGACATATGGTGGCGTTACAAGGACGACCTCACGTGGCCCTGGTACGAGAAGAAGCCGCAGTTTGACGACGCCGATTTCGACGCGTTCCGAGAGATAGCCGAGAAGGTGAAGGACGCCATGGTCCAAGAGTTCGGAGAGCCGATGGTATTGGACCAGGCGACCATCAGCAACACCAATCATATAGGCCATCCGCCACATGCGGACAACGTGCAATTTGATTCTGTTTGGTGGGAAGGCAAGAGGATCCGGAGCGAGGACGAAGTTATCGCGGCCCGGGAAGGCGCGTACGTCTTGTGGAGACCCGAGAAGACTTCGTACAGGAGCTACAGCTGCACCGTGTCGCTGACAGACCCCAGCAACTTCGAGGGTGGTGAGGTGCAGTTCTTCAAGCAGTGGGGCGATTCGGAGCCTGTGGCGAGCTACAAGTGCGCCGAGGGTTGCGGCGTGGCCTTCTGCGGCTGCCAGCGGAACATACACGCGGTCACCGGCGTGCGGAGCGGGTTTCGCCTCGTACTCCTGGTCTGGACGCGGCCGCCTCACGTGCGAGTGCCCGACAGCCAGATCCACGTCTGCTACTTCCGGCCAGGCACTGATGGGCCAATTTTCCACCACCACTACCATAGCTAGGACGGGGGAAAAGCGAGGAGGAGGAGGAGGAGGCCATCCCTATTCTCCTCCTCCTCCTCGTCCTCCTCCTCCTCCTCCTCCTCCTCCTCTCTTCCTCCTCCTCCTCCTCCGGCTCCTCCTCCTCCTCCTCCTCCTCCTCCTCCTCCTCCTCCTCCTCCTCCTCCTCCTCCTCCTCCCCCTACCTACAGCAGTGGTGGTGGAAAGTCGGCCCAGCAGGCACCGGGCTCGGCGTCTGGCTGACCACCGCGGACGTCCAGCAGCGGGAGGCGGCGCGCAGCGGGAATGGCCGGGCGTGGGTGCCCGTCGAGGAGGACCACGGCTGCCAGTGCTCGCGCTGCGCGGCCGAGCGGCGCAAAGTGGCGTGGGCGGACTGCGTCGCGTCCAAGGAGCCGGGGCCGGGATTTCTGGCACAGGTCGCAGGCGATTTTTCTCCCCCAATCCCAGAGTTCCGCCCGAAAAGTCTGACCGCTCAGAAACAAGGGGGGACTCTGGGATACGCCCCAAGGAGGCTATTCGGACGCACCCTTCTCGAGGATGGGCGCCTCCCCATTGTGTATCCCAGGGTTGTGCCCCAAATTTCTTGTCCGTTCGAAGACCCAACGGAGCCTGGGATAGAGATCGACGTATCCCCGATTGACATGCGCGCGGACCGAACACGAGGCCGATGTGAAACGAGCCGGAGATGCCGCGGTCGGCGTTTGTGGGGGGGGGGGATGCGCTGGCTTCGACCAGATCTGGGGCCCCGGAGGGGCCATACGAACCCTCGCGCTCCCCGCTCGATAGTTTCTGCGGACAGCCCCGAAGTCTAGGTTTGACGCCCGCGCGCACATGCACCGCCTGCTCGATCCGATCTTTGTCTTTGGGTGGCCAAGAATGGGAGCGTCTGTTCGACCCACCGGGTTTCTCGAGCTTAGCGAGATCTAGTGGGGCTCAGTGGGTGCCCACGTGGGATATCTCTGGGTTCTAGTGGAAGGTGGTGGGGTCGCAAGTGGGATCCAGTGGGCTCAAGGGGTCTCACTAACTAGGCGCTCGTGCGACTACCTGAGGCTCTGCCTGACCACCTAACGATCTTCGTGGATGTCAGGACTCGGTGGATCTGGATACGCTCGGGCCCCCAATGGGGCCCGAGAATATCCCCGTCCATCCGGGCGATCCGGCTCCCCCAGCGGTGGACGTGTAACCAGGCAACCGACGGGGGTCCCGAGGTCCCAGAGGTCCCGACGAGGCGGTGGTGGAAAGGGACCAGAGCACACCTAAGACTCATCAACGATGTCGGAATCAATCTATGTCGGGCATGTCCCTCTACAGGAGGAGTGTTCAAGCACAGTGAAAAATAGCAAGGGAACGATTTTTCGAATATTGTTTGACAATGTTTGCGTATTTCGACTATTTCTCATGTTCGTCCAAAATACGCCTGTAGGAGAGCATGTCCGACCTAGTAATAAAGCCTCCCTCCAAGTTCACTCCCTCTTCATAAGCCCCTACAATGACCGATTTCCACTTCATAAGCCCCAACTCCCTCTTCAGAAGCACTTCACTCCCTCTTCATAAGCCCCTTCACTCCCTCTTCATAAGCCCCTACAAGAGCGAAATGCCCGATTCGGAGCCAACCGTTTGAAGAGCCTGAAGCGTACCAAGCACCGTTCCCGGAGTTTCAACGCCACGTATCAACCTTACTGTTGCGTCTTATGCACAGGGTTTTCGCCAATTGCGGCCTCTTGGAGCCCTCGCTGGCCACGGGACCGTCAAAACCCAGCTCGGGATGAAAAGCCGGCCCTGGGGAAGGGGTCGGGAAATTCGGGGACTCCGTCCGTACTGGAACAATCAAAACATCGGATGTCTGCTTTTCCCCGTCCTGGATCCATTTGTGATTCTTGGGGGGCCCAATACAGTGTACCCCAGAAGCCAAAATTGAGGAGCGACGCCCGGACTGAAAACTCAGATTGTCGGAGATCCAGGATCGAGGATCGATGGTCGAGGATCGAGCATCGAGGATCGAGGATAGGGATCGACGAGAAGGAGGAGGATCGAGGATCGAGGATCGAGGATGGAGGAGGAGGATCGATGATCGAGGATCGATGAGGAGGATGAGGAGGAAAGGGAGGAGGAGGATGAAGATGAGGAAGAGGAGGACGATCGAGGATCGAGGATCGAGTATCGAGGAGGAGGGGGTGGATGATCGAGGATGGCGGATCGAATCGAGGAGGAGGACCGAAGATCGAGGATCGTGGATAGTAGGAGGAGGAGGACGAGGAGGAGGAGGAGGAGGAGGAGGAGGTTCGAGGAGCGAGCAGTAGGACGAGCGAGGATCGAGGAGAAGGATCGAGGATCTGGGTAATCGTAAGCCCCAGCCTCGCAAAGGACGACTCGCGCAGGCTCGCCCAGGACCCGGCGACGCCCACCACCAGCGCGGGTAGCTCGCCGCGGCCCGCGGAGGGGCCCGACGTACACACCGCGCCGTTTGGTCGGCCAAGGAGCCAGCCCAGACACGATCGCGTCGTAAAACAATCAGGGCGGCAAGTTTTTAGCTATTTTCGGCCCCTGGGGGCCCTTGCCCGTTCCCGGGACCGTCAAAAAACGACTCAGGAAGAAAAGCCGGTCCTGGGGAAAGGGTCTGGACTTCTGGGGCGCCGTCCTGAACAAAAATATGGACGTCGCATGTCTGGGTGGGAGAGTGGCGGAGGAGGTCGGTGCATGTGCGCTCCAGCGCCCCGCAGCTTGGAAAGCTGAGGCGTCTGCATTTGGATGGACCCCCTGGGAGGTGAACTTCAGCATCGGCGCTGGTACAGCCTTGGTCGGAACCAGCCTGGTCTGGCATCATCCCCGCGCAATCACGCTTCATCCTGTCCAAATCCCGCTTCATCCGGCTTTCTGTGGCTTCACCTCGGCTTAATCTGGCATGATCCAGCTCAGTAGTTATTGAATGTGGCTTAGTAGCCCTTGCCTCGATCTTGCGGGGGCCCGAGAAGAAAACTCTGGATAAACGTACTTTTTCGGAAGTCCGCGCGGATCCCCTGGATCGGCGCTGGACGCCCCTGGCGGCGTGCCCAGCGCCGCCCCGGGCGCGCTCCGCGGGCCCGGGACGGGACGGGGTGGGCGCCGACGGGCAGCGCGAGCCGTTCAGGCACCAGAGATGGGCACCAGGGCCTGCCGCAACCAGCGGAGGTACGAGTGCGAGCACGTCGGATGCAGTACGCCAATTTGGTTTTGGGGGCTCTGTGCCACTTGGGGGCTGGGAGCTTTGAGCCACGGGGGGGCGGCGCGCCCGAGAGATTCGCGGTGCCCTTTGGAAGACTTCTCTCTGGGGGAGTCGTCTCCACGGTGTTCGACAGGGGCGTGGCGCCGCGAAGTGGCGGCAGTTGCGGTGGAAGTGCCCGCCTGTGGACTCCCCAGCTCCTTCAACGCGGGCCACCCTTGGGAGGGGTGGGAGGAGTTGGCGCCAGAGCCACCGTAAGGCTCGGCAGCGGGACGGGCGCCACAGAGGGATGTGACTTGACCGCGCTGGATGCCACCATTTGGCTTCCACCAGCGATCATTTGGTATGTGGACGGATGGGAGGGGATTCCTTTGACCCGGTGGCTTCAAGGGCGTCAGCAGCATCACGGCGACCGGGAGAACCGTGTCCACTGGAACCAGCACGACCTGGGCCAGCGTTGCGTCGTTGAGCAGCACAGGTGCAGACAGCACCACGAGTTGAAATCATCATCATCACCGCTTCCGCTGCTTCTACCAGCGCGACCGGGGCTAGCATTAAGTCGGGCATGTCCCTCTACAGGAGGAATGTTCACAAAGTGCCACATGAAAAAATGGAGACGATATGTTGACTATGTTTGAGTATGTTTGGGTATTCTTTGGCTTAAAAATTTGTTCGTCCAAAGTCCGCCTGTCGGAGGAGAGACCCGACCTGAGGCTTAGCAACGCGGCGATGTGGCGATGCGCATTTACAGGTGCGCGGGTTGCAGTGCGGCGCGTTGCCACCACGACGGGGGCCGGCGCCGCAACGGCGGCACGGAGCACAGCAGCAAGACTGGGACTATGGCTCGGGGGTGGGGCTTTGAGCCGCGTTGGAGGGATGGATAAACTTCACAGGAGTAGTTTTACATTACATAGTATAAAATGAAAGATACATCTCAATCGCTGGAGGGGCCAACTTTTCCAAGCTCCCCGCCGCCCTTGGCATAGCACATGCGACGCCATCTGGAGCGGCCCGCCTACCCATCTCCCCACTGTAGGGGAGGGGGGGGGGGGGGGGGCGAAGCCCCTGCTGACAGGGCGGGGTGGGCACCGAAGGGCACCATAGGCCTGCCGCAACCATGGAGGTGCACCAAATGTCCCCCACCAGGCATGGCGCCATTCAAACTTCATCAAACTTTTCAATGTGATACTTCAACCTTCCTCCAAGCAGTCCACGCGGACCTCCGAAAGGTGGTTTATGCTGCTTTTTGCTCATCTAGAGTCCTCCCGCGAGTTGGCCTTATAGCCTTTAATTTGTTTACGGAGACCTCTCAGGATTTGCCTCCTCACCCAGACCCTTGACGTCGTTAGTTGTTTATGACGTGGACCCCTGGAGGTCCGGACCCCTTCCCAGGATCCAGGGACCCGCGTCTCGTGCTGACTCGTCCTTTGACGTCCCCGAGAGCCCGGAAGGGCCCCAAGAGGCCGAAGGCAGCGAAAAGCCTCGAGTCGTGTTTTGTTGTCGCGACGCGACGGGGGGGTCTGTCGGCGGCGAGCCCGGGAGAGGAAGCGAGAAGGGGCTGGCCTTCTCAGCAGGCACGGAAGTCCCCTGGCCTTCTGGGAAGTTCTCTCTGGGCCTTCCCCGATCACGTCGGGAAATTCTGAGAAGGCCAGAGGCCTTCTGAGAAGCCCCTTCGCCCTCAGAGAATGCCTTCTTCTTCTTCTCACCTTCCCCCCCCTCGCTCGCCGCCGAATTTGGTTTTGGGGTCGAAGCCCTGGTCTCTAGCGGCCGTTCAGGACGATCCAGGCACCCCCGGAACGCCCTCGGCGAGGCGCAGCCGCTGGAACGCATCCCGAGGCTGGAGAGCCGTCGAGAACCGTCGGACACAGTCGAGGGACCGACGACACGCCCCGCCGCCTTCCCGAGAAGGCCCTCTCATCCTCGCTTCCCCCCTCGCGTGCCGCCGAGTCCGGGGGGTGCACGCTGAGCCCCTTGGCCGACCACGCGGCCCGGGCGTGTGCCGTCCGCGCCTCGCCCAGGCCCTCGGGCAGCCCCTCGCCGGCCGAGGGCGCGGCCGCGGAGGCCCGCGAGGGCCGCGCGCCCGCCGCAGCCTGCCGGGTGCACGCGCGCGCCGGGCTGCGGGGCGTGGTCTCGGAGGCGCGCGTGGGCAGGTCCGCGGACGGCCCGCGGTGCACCGTACCTCGGCTCCGAGGATCTCTTGGCATCGCTCGGACGTGTACATTTTTCTCGGCGGGAACCATCGAGGACCATCCTGGACCAACGAGCAGAGAAAGCACGCACGAAACCGACAAATGCACGGGAAATGGACGTCCGAGCGACGGCAAGATCTAGGCCTCCTGGATGGGGTCGGAATAGAGGGGGGGTCGGGGGATCGCGCCGCAGCGACGGTGCATCGACGATGCGGCTCGATACGGAGCCCGATTGGCTTCATGCCGGCGTTGCCGATGCACCGCCGACGTCGACGATGCATCGCTGGTGCATCGCTGGTGCATCGCCGATGCATCGCCGATGCATCGCCGATGCATCGCCGATGCATCGCCGATGCGGCGTGATCCTTCGACCCAATCTACTCCGACCGCATCTAGGAGGCCTCTAGAGGAGGACAACGCAGACATGCTCGCGTCGTGAAAAAATCTGGGCGGCAAGTTTTCCTATATTTTCGGCCCCTGGGGGCCCTCGCTGGGCCCCCAGGGGCCTGAAAAGAGGACTCAGGGTGAAAAATTGGTCCCGGGGAGAGGGTCGGGACTTCCGGGGACGCCGAAGAAAAGCTGGATGAACATAAACTTGTGGCGCTCCGCGCGGATTTCTTGGACCCGCGCTGGGCCCCCCCAGCGGCGTCTCTGGCACCGCCCCTGGCGCGCTCTGCGCAGATTCAAGAAATGCGCGGGGAGCGGCAAAAGTTTATACTAATGCAGTTTTCTCTCTTTCTAGACAAGGTACCCATACCGCTACCCATCGCCCGTTTTCCCTTCTTTCGGCCTCCTGGGAGGCCCTCGTCGCCAGCGCTGAATTCGCCTCGAGATTCTAGTCAGAACGCACCCCTGGAGAGGTCCGGGGAGTAGCGGTACCGGTACCTCATGTCTTCCCCATCAGTACCGTTGAACCGATCCCGATGCCCATCTCCATCGTCGTCTCGACCCCCACCATCCCACCACCCCAGTTGGGTTAGGGATCTGACCCTCGAGGCCTATCTAGGGGGTCAGATCGGCCAGTGGGGCCCAGGCCACGCCTATGGGAGCATGGGTCGGTTAAACGATGCTCAGAGCCGCGTATTGCGAGTCCGAGACATGTCCCGATCCTTACGATTGGCATCACCTGAGCGACGTAGAAAGACAGGTTCAACTGTGCGGACGCTCTCGTTTCCAATGTAGCGTTCCGCGCTGGGTGCCTGCGTAAGTCACCGCGTAAGGGCGTTTTGCCATCTCGCGTAAGACCCGTTTCTTTTGGTCGCTCACCATATGTCAGTGCCGGGCTTGATGATTATCTGTTCTTTTCACGGCGCATCCCTAAGATTGTCATCGCATTGCGCTTGTCAATCTTGGGAATCGAAGCGAGTTCGAGGCTGGTTAGCGTTGGCGTCTCCCGAGATGTCGTCGATCCTCGACCCAGGACCGGCACGGTGCGTAGTTTTTCGGATCCCAGGCCGCAAAACTGCAGCGGGGGCTTTCGTTACGGAAGGTGCCCATGGGGCTCCAGACCCTGGGGGACGATTGGAGCTCCACCGGCTTCTGACCCAGGGATTCCTGACCCAACGCTTCCTCATCCAGCGCCCTCACCGTAAGCACCGTGCCGCGTTGGAGCGGGTGGGCGGAGTCCAGACATGGTACGGTGCATGGGCGCCGTTCTCGCAGCAGGGGCAGCGTTAGGGGGGGACAGGCTCAGTGCTCCGACATGGTGTTTTTATTGTTGTTCCATCGGGGCACTCCTTCTGCCTCGACGCCCGCCCCCGGGGCGTCGTCGGCACCCAGGGCCAGTGGAAGCGGACCTGGGAAGAGGGAGCACCCCGCAGGGAAACGATCGGAGCCCGTGGCCGCGGATTGGCAATGATCATACCGGCGGATGTCAGGGGACTACTCGGGGGGGGGACATCGGCCCCCAAGCGACGATTGATCGCCGAGAGCCGACAAGGGGCCTCATGGCCAACCCTGCCGAGGAACGTTCGGATTCGCTATCGGGGGCATCTCGCCGATCAATCGGCGATGCATCGCCGATTCCAGCTCGACGGTTCTCCGTTCTCCTTCGGATCCAGTCCCCCCCGAACGTTTCCCCTCATCGTAGGCGGGAAACATGTCCATACCTACGGCCTCACGGGCCGGGCCCCTGGGACGCGACACCAGGATGCAGTGCGCTTTTTCGCGGATGCCCCGGGCGGAACATATCCACGGGATCGCGTATCCACGGGATCTGGTCCTGGAATCCAGACCCTGAGGGCGGGGGCACGGATATGTTCGCCGCTCTTGTGAGGCGGACGCGGAGCAGCTGTATCGAATATGGCAGGCTTACCAGGAGCCTCTTCTTCATATATCCTCTGGCGGGTGAATTCCGGGCCTCCCATTGGTGCCAGAGCAGATCGGGTCGGAGGGGTCGCGCCGCACGGCCGATGACATGCGCGGCGTTGCCGAGCGTGGAGGGGACCAGTGACGTTGCTGTTTGCGCCAGCGCCGTTTTGGATCGAGCTGTCCCCAGCCATTCTAGGACGGTGTCGGCGCGAAGCGTGACGTCACCCAAGGTCGGACGAGGGGCGGTGGCGGGCGTTATCGCGAATAGCTAAATATAGCGATCTCCAGGACGACCTGTCGCACCCGTGGTACGAGGACAAGCCGACCTTCACGGACAGGGAGTTCAAGACCTTCAGAGCCATCGCCCAGAAGGTGGTCCGTGCCATGTCCGAGGCCTTCGGGGAGGACCTGGTGCTCGACCAGGCCACCGTCAGCAGGACCACCCACCACGGCCACCCGCCGCACGCGGACAACGTGCAGTTCGACTCGGTCTTCACCACCCACCAAACCACCCCAACCCAACCCGAAGGCTCAGATTTACCCTCGATTTCTAGTGGGGGGGGGGGTCCGGGAACATCGAAAAAACACATACGGAGCCCATACCCCCCCCAAACCCGAAATTCGGGTCTTCGGGTTGGGTTGGGGTGGTTTGGTAGGTAGTCAGGTCTGGTGGGGCGGCAGGCAGATCAAGCAGGTGGACGAGCTCACCGCCGCCAGGGCAGGAGCCAAGGCCCGGCAGGAGTGCGGAGGAGGAGGAGGAGGAGGAGGACGAGGAGAAGGAGGAGGAGGAGGAGGAGGAGGAGGAGGAGGAGGAGGAGGAGGAGGAGGCCCTGCCCCGACGCCGCTCTCTGCTCCGAGTTCTGCGCGCGCTGCGCTTTCTCTGTGGCGTCTCTGTCCGCTCTGGACGTGCCCTGCTTCTTCTCGTAGCTCTCTTCGCGAGGGCTTCCGAGAGGTCCCGCCGCCGTCGAGCCCGCGGCGAGGCTCGAGAGCGATGCGCACCGCTCCTCTGTGGGCGACGCGCTGCGCCCCCGGGGAGGAGGAGGATCGGCGGCGAGCCCCGGCGGGGGGGGGGGGGAGAGAGGGGCCGGGCCTTCTCGGCAGGCGCCGGGCCTTCGCAGAAGCCGCCTGCGGAGAAGCCCTGCGGGCGCTCTCCAGAGCCGCAGGACGGCCTCTCCGCCGGCGCGGGGGCCTCCGAGGAGCCCCGCCGCCTCCTGAGGAGGCCTATAGGCCCCTCTCACTTTTCCCCCGCCCCAGGGAGGTCGCCGCTGGAGGGCTCCCCACTCCGCTCCCTCTCTCGGGCTCGCCACCGAGAGGTCCACTGCCCATGGAGGGAAAGATCGGGTATAGCCAGGACCCCGGAGAAGGGGACCCGGTTAGCAGTAGGGCCCGGGAGCCCCGAATTTGGCCAGAATCACTAAACCAGGTCTGCCGCAGCTGGTGTTTTTTCGGGCGACGGCAGATCCGGTTAGTGGAACGGGGCGGGGGGGGGCGTCCCCCGGTACCCATTACTAAACCAAGTCCCACTAAACCAAGTTCTGCCGACGCCCGAAAAGAGCCAAGGGATGGAGAAAAGAAACGGTGGGGGGTCCCTTCCGAGGAGAACTTCTGGGTCCCCACCTGAGGTTCCACCCCCTGGGCAGGGCCCGCCGACAGGCCTCGCCCCCCTAAAGCATTACGTACAGCTGGAGCGAGGGTTGAGAACAGCCCAAGCTTTGAAGGGACACAGTCGATCCGCACGGTAAGGATGGGCCATCTGCCCAAGGGTACCCTTGCATCCTTGCCTCATCGACCCATCTTTCGCCACTTTCGTTGGCCACGCCCGATGAAGGCCCTTGCATCCTTATCGCGCATCTTTCTGATACGGGTCGACTGTACCCTGGTTTTTGATTTCAAATAACTGGTTTTAAACAGTTGTTTTTGACTTCACAGGAGTGGTTGTTATTTCAAACGCTGGTTTTAATGCGTAAGTTAGTTTTTTTTCCATTCAAAAAATTGGTGATTGAGTTCAAAACCATGTTCTCCGTCTTTTGGCTCTCCGCCTTGGACTGGCCTCCGCTCGGCGCATCCCTGGGCTCTCGGCTCGGCGAATGGGGCTCTTGTTCTTGATTGGCGATCTTGTGCCAGCGTTAAGTCGGGACTGTCTCTCTACAAGAGGAATATTCAAAAGAAATTAAACAATAGTCTGGGGACGATGTTTCTAATATATGTGTTGACTATTTTTGAGTATGTTTTAGTATGTTTTGTTTTTTCGTCGAAGATCGGCCTGTAGGGAGACATGCCCGACCTAATGCCAGCGACTCAACTGCAGCCTCTGGGTCAGGCTCTCTTCTGGACTTCCTCGGCGCCGAGGGGAAGAGAGGGGGTGCTTTGCCCGCTGCGACCGCCTGGTTGATTTGTTTTACGCTCCGCTGCGTCGGCTGATTCACGTCCTTCACTAGAACGCGCCAAGCTTGCGCTGCACGTCGGGGCAGCGTCAGAAAGCAGGCGAAGGCTGGATCGGAAGCAGGAGAAGGCCCTTCCTTTATTCCGCACTGTGGCAGGGTACAGGCCTGCCGCTGATTTTTTCTCCACCGCCGACGCCACAAGAGCTTGCTTTTCCGGCTCTGCGCCGAACATTTGCCTCTTCCGCCAGCGCAGTCGCTCTGCCTAGCCGCCGACGCAAACAAAGGTGTGTGTGTGTGGTGTGTGTGTGTGCTCGTGGTTTTTGGCCTCGCTGTATTCGGTGAGGCCTCCTGCTCTGCCAGGGGCCGCCCGCCAGGCGTGACCACTGCACGGCCGTGCGGCTCCGCTGCCCCGCCCGCGACGCTCCAGCATGTCTGTGTAGGTGCTCGTGTGTTGGTGATGTGCTCGTGTGTGTGTGTGTGAGTCGGGCCGGGCGAAAGGGGGGGATTGGGAGAGGGGGGGAATTACGAAATTTGCTGCATGCAGCTGGTTTCGGCCTCCCCGAGGGGCCCATTCCTCGATACATGAGCCGCCTCCGGCGCCTGGAGGCGCCGGGAAAATCAGCTACGTGAGCTGATTCTCAACCCCCCCCTTCGCTATCCCCCCCTTTCGCCCGACCCGAGTGAGTCGTCGGCGCGCTCCGAAAAGGTTTTGTGGAAGCAGTCCAAGACGCTGTACCGGAACTACAGCGCCACCGTTTCCCTCTGCGACCCGTCAGGGTACGACGGCGGAGACCTGGAGTTTTACGGCCCCACGGGGGATCGGACAATCTTCGTCCTTGTTCTTTCGATGTCAGGCATCTTCGTATCAGCCTTCTCTTTTTCTCCTCCTTTCGCCTTATTCATCCTCACGCCCCTACTCCTGGCGTGCCGTTTTGTGACCACCTGCGAACCCTAGCCCTGCGGCTCCGGTCGACGCTTGGGTGTCGGACGCCCCCGTTGGGGTGCATTTTGCTGCAGACATCCTTCGAATCTTGAGCCCCGCTCGCGTTTCAGAACTCAGGCCTGCAGGGTAGGGCCATCTAGCTTCGGATCAAAGCAAGTACCGGCGCAGATACGGTGGGGGTGTTCGAGAAGGAACGTGTCCACGAGGCTTCGGTGGACGAGTCCTTGTCTGATGAAGGCAGCGGTGATATCCACAGCTACTCTACTCCACGGTTGGAGTTCCACCAGGCTAAGTGGACTCCGCCCACTCAGCGGAGTTATCTAACCCCTAAGCCATTTTTTGCATGTGTAGCCGACTTCTAAGCTAGGCTAGGCCAGATATAACCCACCTTGGCATCCATCGAAAGCTCCCCTATCTCCTCAGCGTCCCCCGCGCCCATCCCAGTATAGGGATATTCCAAAGGTCGTGCGACACGCCTTCCGCGGCGCTTCACACAAGCTTGGCAAGCGCTGTCGCACGTGTTTGCCATGCGCGCGCCTCTTCGCTATCCATGTGCTGGACACTGCTTCTGCTAGAAGGTCCCATGCCACAGCAAACAAACAGACCGCGTGGCCCCGGCGCTCACAGGATCAGGGGGCCAAAGAGCAATCAGAGAGAGAGAGAGAGACACGGGTCAGGGCATGAAGAACCTCGGATAGACGCCAATCCCAGGTGCCTCTCTGGTTGTTTATGCCCCGCTGTCGCTGAGAGCTGTGGGAGCGCCGTGGGACCCGACTGCCAGGGTCCTGGGGCGAGAGGGAGCCCCTCGAGAAGCACCGCCCCGCGCTCGGCGACGGCGTGGCCTTCTGCGGCTGCCAGCGGAACATCCACGCGGTGACCGGCGTCAGGTGGGGCTTCCGCCTGGTCCTCCTCGTCTGGACGCGCTCCCCGGATTCGGTGGTGCCAGAGGACAGACTAGGGGCCACATGCGAACCCTACCCCTACCCCCCTACGATTTCTGAGGGGGAGGGTGGGGCGGGGGTAGGGCTCGCATGTGGCCCCCTAACAGAGACTGGCGGCGCGTCAGGGTGGGCCCTCGCTGGCGTGGCCCTCCTTGCGCATGGCTGGAGAGATCTGTGAGCCGCACGCGGGCATGCAACCCAGGCCAGGACCGCTCCTGGGGCCAGGATCGAACGCGCGCAGATACCCCTTCCTGGCCTGGCCACTGGAAGAACAGAGAAGGGCATGAACACGAACTTCCGAAGCTCAGCGCAGATTTCTGGGATCGGCGCTGGGGCCCCCCTGGCAGCGCCTCCTGCGCCGCCCCTGGCGCGCGGATCGCGCCAGGGAGGGGGTCCAGCGCCGATGCAAGAAGTCCACGCGGACCTTTGCGAAAGTTTATGCTTATTGTGTTTGTTGTTCCTCCATTGCCAGGGCGCCAAGAGCTAGGCCTGGCCAGCCCTGGCGTCGGCGTGAGATTTGACGTTGTGTGCAAGAGCGTGCCCTACTATATGCATCCGTCGTCTTCTCAGCTGCCCTGGTACACCCGTTTGGAAATGCAGAACTTCCCGTATTCAAGACGACCGTGTTAACACGCTGCGTGTTGGCTCGGCACGTGTCGGTGGACGTTTTGGCCATCGCGCCAGACCTACGGTTTCAGTCTACGTGTTGAGCTCCGTGTCAAGACGCTACGTGTTGCGTGTTGCATACGTTGGGCAGATATATGACCCTGGCGTCGGCGTGCGAAGTGCCCGCGTGTGTGTGTGTGTGTGTGTGTGTGTGTGCAAGAGCTTGCCCTGCGATATGCATCCATCGTCTTCCAGGCTCCTTACAAAGCTTTCCAGCGGTGGCAGGTGACCCTGAGGCCCGACACGAACTCAGCATTTGCAGCTTCGCGACAAATGGCGCCCGGGCCCCCCCACAAATCCGATATCTGTCGAGAGGATCGATCTGTGAGGATCCATCTCCATCTCTGTCGAGAGGATCTCTGTCGAGAGGATCGATCTGTGAGGATCGCTCTTCGCGAAAAACGGCTCCATCTCTGTCGAGAGGATCGATCTCTGAGGCTCCCGGGGCCCGCGGCCGGGCGAGGGCGCCCGGCTCGAGAACTCTCGAAGGGGCAGCGGGGTGGCCCCAGGTGGCCCGGGGCGGCCCGCGGGCCCCGAGAGGCCGACGGCCCCGGCGGTCTCTCGCCCGGGGCGCCCTGCCCTCCGGAAGCCCATAGGGTCAGGAGCAACGACAGGTCGGGGGCGGAAAAGGAGGGGGGGGATGACTAGGTGGGGGGGGGATCTCATGGCGGGGGGCATGATCTTTCCCCACATCTCATGGCGCCTCTTCGTGTTTCAAGACGGTCCCGGCCCCCCCGCTGGGCCGCGCACATGCCGCCGGCCATGATTTGCACCCCCCCCCCCCTCTTGGACACCCCCCTCTTGGCCGCTCCCGACAGGGGGGGAAGGGCATGGGGGGGGGATGCATCGGCGCGCCATGGCCCACTGATCGCCGACAGGGGCCCGACGGCCCAAACCTGCCCAGGAAGGGGCGGGTTCACGATCGGGGGCCTATCGCCGATCTATCGGCGAGGTATCGCCGATTCCAGGTCGATATCGTCCCCCCCTATGCCAGTACCCCCCCTATCGTTGCCAATCTCAAGGTTCGCCAGGGGTCGGATTCCCCCTTCCAATCGACGACAATCCTTTCGAACCCCTTGTGATCGTTTTCTCATTCCTTGGTTTGCCGATCGGCGCGGGCCGTCGCATCCCCCCCCTCCCCCTCCCCCCCGTGGGAGCAGATCTTGGCTGTCTTTGGCGCCTGTTTCAAGCAGGTGGAGTTTCCCACACACGACCCACTGTTGCAAACAGTCGCGCTAAGCAGAGGTCCAGAGCCAGACCCCCCCCTCCCCCCCTCCCCCTTTCGCTCAATGTCGAAACGTCGAATACAAACAACGCTCACAATCCTTTTGAACCCCTTCGCAGAATTGCTTTTTACCCAGACTTCACGCGTGTGCAGTGCAGAAGGCGTGCTGCCAGCACGGCCCTTCTTGTGGGGCCTCTGAGGTAAAGGGCTGCGAAGGTGGGGGAGCGCTGCTGCTGCTGCTGCTGCTGCTGCTGCTGCTCGGGTCGGAGGCCTGGGGGCCCAGGAGAAGAAGCACGTGTGCTACTTCCGCCCGGGGACCGGCCGCGCCGTGTGGCTGACCACGGCGGACCTCGAGGATCGGCGGGGCGCCGCCTCGCCGACAGGGGGCCCCAGAGATCCAACGCATTGAAGAAATCGAGGCGGAGTTCGTTCGCAAATGTCGGCCCCTGGGGGCCCTCGCCGGGCCTCGGGGCCGTCCAAAAACGATTCCGGATGAGACACCAGTCCTGGGGAAGTGGGTCGAGCCTTCCAGGGACCCCGCGTTGGAAAAGTCACGACGTCGGATCTCTGGGGCAGGGGGAGGAGAAGCCACCCGGACCCGACAGGTGGCGTTGGCCGCACGGCCCTGGGCGTTCACGAAGGCAGCCCTGCCCCGTCCGACTCCCCTCTTCGGGTGCATCTGCCGAACGGCCCTGCGTCTCGGGCGACTCTTCCGAGGGCGGATGCCCTGCTCGCTCGGGGCGCCACCGTCTGACCCGGCCCCCAGGCCGACTGCTGGCGGCGAGCCCCAGGCCGACTGCTGGCGGCGAGCCCCTCTGCGTCTCGGGCGACTCTTCCGAGGGTGGATGTCCTGCTCGCTCGGGGCGCCACCGGCCGACCGACTGCTGGCGGCGAGCCCCTGGGGGGGGGGGCGCGCGGGGGGGCCGGCCCCGCCGGAAGGCGGCAGGGCCTCTCCGAGGGCCTGCCGCCCCCCCCCCAAGGGCTCGCCTAGACCCCCTCTCCAGAGAGGGGCTCCTGCAGGATCCTCGGCGAAGGAGGAGGAGGGGGAGGGGGAGGCGGAAAGAGGAGAACGTTGTTGTCCGCCGCAAGCTTTGCTCTAGGCGTGCCCCCCGTCTCGGTGCCCCCCCCCAAGGGCTCGCCGCCGACACGGGGCCACGGAAACGCAGTCCCACCAGTTGCTGTTGTTCCTTTCTGCCTCTCTCCCTCCTCCCTTGCTTCCCCCCTTCCCTCCTTCCCTCGCTCTCCTTTCCTGCCCTGATCGGCTCGGCGTTTGACAGGCCTTTTCATGTCTGAATTTGCCATGCTGCCAGCCGGAGCCGTTTTTCAAGTTTTCTGGAAGTATGGGTCTCGCCCCGCGAGGTTCGGGACAGGGAGCCAACCCGGCGGGGTGAGCGTCAGCTTGTGGGTGTTGAACGATGCCCCCCACCCCCGGGGGCTGACGAACAGACTCCGCGGGGCGCGAAGTGTGAAAGGTTTTTTTGTTGTTGGAAATCACGCGCGCCAGGGGGTCGGCGCGGGCGCCGCCGAGGGGATCGTGTACCCCCGCGCACGGCAGCTGAGGCGAAGCTTTTTTCCCTTCCAGGCTGATTATTGACGTGCTACAGTCGTCGTCGTCGTCGTCGTCGTCGTCGTCGTCGTCGTCGTCGTCGTCGTCGTTGTAACGGTCGTCGTCGTCGTCGTCGTTGTAACGGTCACCGTCGTCGTCGTCGTCGTCGTCGTCGTCGTCGTCGTCGTCGTCGTCGTCGTCGGCGGGGGGGGAGGGGTGGAGAAGAAGAAAGAGGAGCCCTTTCCGCCTGTCTCTGCCGCTCATCCCCCCCTCTTCCCGTTCTTGTTTGCAGCCCGCCTGCTGAAGCGCGTTTTTCCCCGCCTCCTCTTCTCTTTGCTGTCTGTAGCCATGTTGGCCCCAGCGCCGCGCCACATCGAAGGCGCTGCTGTCCCCCTCCACTGAAGCGGCGTCGTTTACGTCGCGCCTGTCGCCCTGTCGCTCGCGGACGGGCGTCGGAGCTAATCACTGGCGCCGCCGCCGCGTGTTTCGTTCGGTGGGCGCCCCCCCCGCGATTCGCCTGGAAGTGGACCAATTTGTTTCCATCACGCGCCCCCCCGTGGTTCTAAAGATCACAAGCTGACATCCGTGGGCCCGCGGGGCAGAAGCCATGCCAGTGGTGACGGGGATGGGTTAGACACTGCTCAGACACGGAGGGCGTTTCCTCCCCCACTCCTTCTGCTATTCCTCCTCCTCCTCCTCCTCCTCCTCCTCCTCGTTCCCCTCCTCCTCCTCCTCCTCCTCCTCCTCCTCCTCCTCCTTTTCCTCCTCCTATTCCTCCTCATCCTCCGCCCCCTCCTTCTTCAGTCTCCACCTCCTCCTTCTCGTCCTCCCCATCCTCCTGCTCTTCCTCCTCCTTCTCCTCCCTCTGCTCCCCCTCCTCCTGCTCCCTCCTCCTCCTCCTCCTCCTCCTCCTCCTCCTCTCCTCCTCCTCCTCCTCCTCCTCCTCTCTCCCCCTCCTCCTGCTCCTCTTCCTCCTCCTCCTCCTCCTCGTCCTCCTCCTCCTCCTCCTCCCCTCCTCCTCCTGCTCCCCCTCCTCCTCCTTCTACTCCTCCCCCCTTCCTCCTCCTCCTTCCTTTTTTTCCCCTCCTCCCCCTCCTCCTCCTCCTGCTCCTGCTCCTCCTCCCTCCTCCTCCTCCTCGTCGTCCTCCTCCTCCTCCTTTTCCTCCTCCTCCTCCTCCTCCTCCTCCTCCTTTTCCCATGTCGAAGACGACCCATGTCGAAGACGACACAACTGCAGAGACGCAGTTTTTTTGTTTCAGAAACCCGCACGGAGCCCTTGGGTAGGCGCTGGGCTCCCCCCGGCTGCGCTTTCGACGCCGCGGGGGCTCTGCGGCGAGACGCGAAGTCTGCGCGGATCCTCGAGGTGCGAGGGGCTTGCTTCTTGAGCGCGTCTTCTCGCCCTGGGGCGCTCTCGTGGCCGCGGCCGGGCCCGCCTCAAACTTTGGATCAAAACGCGCCCCAGGAGAGGTCCGGGTGCCGATGTTTGACCCCTGCCTCCAGTTTGATCTGGGGCAGAGACAGGGAGGGGACTGACTCAGTGGGGGAGGCATCGGCCCCGTCTATCGCCGATTCGTTCCGATGGGGGCTTGTGTGCCGTTTCGCTGTCGGTGGCCGAATGGCTGTCCATCGGCGATGTTTGACCGATCCCAACCTCCGACGCCTTGATTTTTCACCGTGGAAACTTGCGAAACTGTCAATGACCGGCTTGTCATCCCGAGCCGTTTCCTGATAGTTTCCGCTCCCGGAGAGGGCCCCTGGAGGTAACAAAAAAGGGTCAAGCAGCTTCCGTTTTTTTTGGTGGGGGGGGCAAGGTGGTCGGGGTCGG